AGATCCTTGAAGGCAGAAGTTTGTGCCCAGCAGACACTAAATAAATGTTCTTTGACTAAACTTTTAATTAATTATTCAGTTCATTAAGAAGAACATGAGGTAGTTGGCCTAGGACCTGGATTTTTTCAATAGTGCACCACATAATCAGAAATCCATAAATGTTTTTACTGATAACAGTGGTGAAGTGTAGCCATTTATATTAATACAAAGATAATCTAAAACAATGTAATCAACTTAAAAGTGTAGTTACAGGTCTGGTACTAGTAACCGATCAATTTTTATCACATCAATGAGAAAACTGATATTTAACAGACAGAATCTTCCAGAGAGCTGCTTTTTTCCCCCCATGTTTGATCAATGCTATTGAACTAAGACAGCAGGATGCCATTCTGTACTGTATCACACACAGGGCAACCCAATCTCATGTTAGCCCTTCGTGAGCGTGTGTCTCAGAGGGAATCTAAAACAATGGGGGTGGTACAGCCACATCCTCAAATCTCAGTGTTCTACTTTAGGCGGGGAGGAGACCACCCCTCCACCTAACCTGCTTATCGTCTCACTGTTCCTATCACATCAGATTCAGAGTGAATTATACTGATTCATCTAAAAGGTTAAGGGATGAGAGGTTATTTTCTATAGAGTCTAAGACTTTGAACTCTAGACTAGAGGTAAAATAATGGAAGCTGAATAGCATGCAGTTCCCATAGGCTTACTGCAGGTTTTCACAGACTCTGACATTTTAAGGTTGTAGTAATAAATGAGTTGAGCCCGATTATGTCCATTTTGGGTCAAGCAGTGTGGCACAGTGAAAAGAACTTTAAAGGCAGACAGACCTGGATTCAAAACTCAGTGCTTCCACTCACCAGCTTAGTGACCTTGGACAAGTTACTTAACCGTTCTGAGCTTTAATTTGCTCATCTGTAAAATAGGGTTAGTGATGCCAGTTTCTCGGCAATATCATCATACTTAAGTAAGTTAATATATGTAAGCGCCTATCTCCGTAGTTGGCACACAGTAGGTGGTGGTATGATCACCATTCAGGCATTTACAATAGTGGTTGGGTGGCAGCACCACGCTAGGCCTGAAGCTACAACCGGAACAAGACAGTCTGTTGCCCTAGCTGGTTTGGCTCAGTGGATAGAGTGTAGGTCTGCAGACTGAAGGGTCCCAAGTTCGATTCTGGTCAAGGGCACATGCCTGGGTTGTGGACTTGATCCCCAGTAGGGGGCATGCAGGAGGCAGCCAATCTATGATTTTCTCTCATCATTGATGTTTCTATCTCTCTCTCTCCCGCTCCCTTCCTCTCTGAAATCAATAAAAAATATATTTTTTAAAAAAAAAGACAGAGTCTGTCTTCAGGGCGTTTCAGCTAATGAGATTACCCAAGGAGTTGTTCCAGGTAAAATAAGTGATGGGAAACCAACCAACTCGCATCCATCACATGCAGACTCCAGTGGTGTCCCTGACAGTCCTGGTCTTGTCCCAGAATTACCCTTCCAGGAAGGGAGCCTACTGTGTACTGATTGCTGACTGTGTGACAAGTACGGGGATAGGTATTTTAGACTCATTTCCCCCCGTAACATTGGTGTTCTTACATTTACAAATAGCCAAGATCACTTAGCTAAGTGACTGGCCCAAGTTGGTCAGCCTGCAAATTGTCTATCACCTACTCTGTCACACACCCAGGTTGGTGGCAGCCGGACAGCCTGTGGCTGTAACATGAAAAGCACCCTTGAAAGAAGCCTTTGTCCCACAGTGCCCAGGAGGCAATTTTTCGAAGGCGTGTTCTGAGTTGGGGGTGAAGAGGAGAGGTCAAAGTTTAGCTTGTGGCAGGAACAACTGGTAAAAGCCAAATTATTCTTGTGGGTTAGCAACCATGTTCAGGCAATCTGGATTTGTCAAGATGCATGGGGAGGAAATTAGGAGCCAAGGTCATGAGTAAGAAGAGGTGGGGAGGAACAAGGACAGGCAAAACTCTAAGGCGGGGTGAGAAACAACCAGCCCGTGGGCCGTATAAGGCCCGCAAATTCATTTGGTCTGGGCCTGCCAAGGCAACCATAGGTGGGACTCAAAATTCAATAAATCTAGGAGCTTTTTCATAGCAACATAAATTTATATTAAGTGGAGAGAGAGGAAGGGAAAGGGAGAGAGAACAAGAGAGAGAAAAAAACATTGATTGGTTGCCTTCCGTATGTGGCCCAACTGGGGCTCAAACCTGAAACCTGGGTATGTGCCCTAACCGGGAATGAAACCCACAACCCCTTGGTGCACAGGACAATGCTCCAACCAACTGAGCCACACCAACCAGGACTCATTATTTTCTTTTATCTTTTAAATATATTTATTTGAAGTCTACTGTAGCATTCTTTAGTTCCCAAGTAATATTTTTATTTTTTACATTGAAGAGTTAACTGTATAATAACTAGACAAACTTAGTTTGATTTTTTTCCCAAATCCATTGGGACCCTTCAGTCTGCAGGCCGACACTCTATCCACTGAGCCAAACCGGTTAGGGCCCAAATCCATTCTTTATAAAAGTTTGGGTTTTGTACAGCTGAAAATATGGTTAGTTATTTGCTAAACAAATGTAAATTTCCCACTCAGTGCATTTTCTTCAAAAGGATTCTGATCCCTGGATGATCTTCTTATGCAAATCAGCATTCTTTTTTTATTGCTTCTTCTGTCATCATGTAGAATATAATCAGGGAAATGATGTTCATGTTATAGTAGTCTAAGTAACACATAAAAAGGAATGCAAATTTCCTGAATTAAAATATAATTATGGATCAAGTAGATTAATTCTGATCTGTATCTTTAATCTTAAAAGTATGTGATTCATCGTTAGTAAAGAAAAGTGCATACATTTGGGCAAATATGTCTGGGTTTTGTAAGCGTTGCATTTTATATGAGCCTTCCAGACCAAACAAATGCAATCACTTTCTTCAGTTCTGAGCAAGGCAAAAAAAAAAAAAAAATCCCAACAAGCAGACAGGCTTGGAGAGCAAGAGTACAATTCACTAATTGGTAAATTGTTAACATTGCTTCTATCTGGTAGGAACTTTATCTTATATTACCTGTGAATATAATTTCACCAAAGTCTGGTCTCAGGGTTCTTATACTTTATGTAGAAAATTATAAAAGCCAAAATGAAATGGTTCCAGAAAATACTTCAGAGTTCTTACTTATCCATTACTAGAGGCCTGGTGCACAAATTCGTGCATGGGTGGGGTCCGGCCGGCCCACCATAATGGGGGCCCATTAGGCTGGGCTGGCAGCGGGGAGGGGCCATGGGTGGTTGGCAGCTGGCCCTGCCCCTGATTGAGGTGTTGGGGGACAATTGGGGCCTGGATCAGACTGGATCAGTCGTTCTGGTCATTCTGCCATTCTGGTTGCTGGGCTTTTATATAGAGACTAGAGGCCCGGTGCACAAAAATTTGTGCACTTGGGCCGAAACCGGTTTGGCTCAGTGGATAGAGCGTCGGCCTGCAGACTGAAGGGTCCCGGGTTCAATTCCGGTCAAGGG